GACAAAACATCGTTATGACATCATAAAGTGGGCAAAATCTGATCAGCTCATTTTCAGACAGGTTTTTATAGAAATGGATCAGGACAAAAAGAGAGAGAATCTTTGTTCCTGAAACTTTCAGAGTCTCTTTACACAGAGGGGACAGATGTTGATGTAGAAGAGACATGGAGAAGAGGGGACACATGTTGATGTAGAAGAGACATGAAGAAGAGGGGACACATGTTGATGTAGAAGAGACATGGAGAAGAGGGGACACATGTTGATGTAGAAGAGACATGAAGAAGAGGGGACACATGTTGATGAAGAAGAGGGCACACATGTTGATGAAGAAGAGGGGACACATGTTGATGTCGAAGAGACATGAAGAAGTGGATTTTGCATGATAGGGGACCTTTAATCTCCTAGGCACATTTTAACTAACGTTTCTCCTTTTTATTTCAAAGTTGATAAAGCAGTACGAGGTGCGTCCGGACCCTGCAGGAACCACCGTGGAGCCGATCACCAGAACCCTGCTCTGCCCGGCGACACCCATCAACCTGCAGTTTTTGGACCGACCCCGAGCGGGGGTTTCTGTCTGAGCCTCGTTTAGTATTCACACCGGGTCCCCGCCTGTTACCAAGCACGGAGCGGTCACATCCAGAGGACCGGCTGGAAGGCACCACACAACAAGCTGGGTCCAGTTGTAGTCGTTTGTTTGGTCAGGATTAACCTTTCCTCTAGTTTTTATCTTGTTTTAGTCCCACAAATGTCACTTTTTTACTTCAAAGATATATTCAAGAGATTCAACACAATATTGGTTTAGCCGTGATCACGTGTCCAAGATAATAGAAATATATTTAATAATGCCACATCTCTTATGCTGCTTCCCATTTGCATTGTCTCCTCATGTCTATGTGTGTTTCGGCTAGTTTTCCAAATTCCAAAATACAAACATGTAACTCCTTTAGGCAGTGTTGGAAAAAGTACTCAGATCCTTTACTTAAGTAAAAGTAAAAATACTATAGTCCTAAGATACTCCACTACAAGTCCTGATTTCAACATTTTACTTTAGTTAAAGTACAAAAGTATTATTATCAAAATTAAACTTGAAAAGTTAAATTACACACTCTGCACAATAGCCCTAAAGCTTAATGCACTTCAAATATCAAAAGTAAAAGTACTCGGTATGCAGTATGGATTTTTTCACAGTATTTTATTATTATGGCTATTATTTGATATTGTTGTTATAATAATAATGTAAGATTATTTTAGTGTTTTAGCTTGTCAATGTGGACAAAGTTACTACTAACTACATTCAAATACATGTAGTGGGGTGAAAAGTAGAAGTGTGAAATACTCAGGTAAAGTAGAAATATATCAAAAAGTGCTTTAAGTACAATACCAGAGTAAATACTTTCCACCACTGCCTTTAGAAAATGTCTTTGTGTTTTCTAATTTTGTGTGTGTGTCGATCCAAGGACATTTAAACGGCCCTCCCCCCCAGCCCAAAAATGCTCATTGAAAGTTGAACTTTAGGATAAGATCAGATAAAATGTACCTTTAATAATCCCCGGGAACTTCATGTGTCAGATAAGAGTTCACACAGGGATAAATACAAATTAACCTTTAAATAACAGTATGAAGAGAAAACTAACAACAATAAGATATGGTAAAACTCTGAGTATAATATACATATATACAGTAATGAGTGTAGATAATTATGAATGAACATAAATAAATATATATGTGCAGGTGTTAGTGGGATGGCACGTCTTATGTCCTGTATATACTACATACAGTGCAGGTTTTATAGTAATTTTTGCACAATTTGTAATAATTGACCATTTATTTTTGGACATTTTACGTTTTTATGCAGTTGTTTTGTGTCTATTTGTGAATATTTTGCATCTCCTTGTGAATATTTCTCTTGGTTGTTTTGCATCTGTGTGATTGCATTGATCTATTTTGTGAAAATGTTTTCTTGTTGACAACCAGTGGCCTTTTGTTGTACATTTTATTTTGTATTTTTCCATTACAATCTATTCCGTTTTAATAATAGTAGTTTTTGTCATGTTCCCATCTTAGATGTAAGAAACACTGCTGCTGTGATAACACAACATTTATCAGAACAATGTTCCCTACATTTGAAACAAATAATGTGGCCTCTTTTCTTCCATGATCGACATGTATCATCTGACACATAAAGGCTGTCTTTATAAAACTAATTATTTAATTATTCTTTCATTCTTCTGCTTTAGAGATAAACATATGTTGTTGTTGTTTTTAATCCCTTTGTGCTGTGTTGTTATTAGCCGCGTTCACACCGGAGTACTTTTCCCACTTTAGTTCTGATATTGTTCCGAAATGTCGCGTTCACACCAAAATGAGCCGGAACTAAAATTAGTTCATGAGAACCTTTTTACCCCATTTCCGTCCCTGCTAGAGAGCAGGGACTCTCATGCGGCTCTCTTGTGAGAACATTTCTGATTGGCAGTTTGTGAAGCCACCATTTTATTATCCTCGCATTAACATTATTAGCATTAGCCCAGCGCAGAAACGCAGAGAGACTAATTTATGGCAACAGAAAATAAAACATGGGAGCGGTGGTGATGTAGAAGAGGGGACACATGTTGATGAAGAAGAGGGGACACATGTTGATGAAGAAGAGGGGACACATGTTGATGTCGAAGAGACATGAAGAAGTGGATTTTGCATGATAGGGGACCTTTAATCTCCTAGGCACATTTTA